ATTTTTTAATCTATGTTCATTCAGGAAATTGACTTTTTTTGTAGTTTTGTTGTCTAGTTTTGGCATCAGGGTAATGAAGGCTTCATTGAAAGAGTTTGGTAATATTTCCTCACCTTCAATTTTACGGAAAAATTTGAGAAGGATGGGACCTAACTATTCTTTAAATGTTTGGAGAATTACCCTGTGAACCCATAGAGTCCTCTACATCAGGAATCTACAAAATATGGCCCATGAGTCAGTCCATTCAGCCATTTACCTTGTAAATAAATTTTTTGGGGACATAAGAAAGCTTATTTATTTATGTACTATCAATAACTTATTTCATGAAACAATGGCAGAGTTCAATAGTTGCAGTAGAATGAATGGCCTACAAAAACAAAGATATTTACTATTCTACCTTTTATTGAAGAAGTTTGTAATCCCCTTGTCTACATCATTAGTCAACATGGAAATGCAAGTTAATGCCACAATGAGATCTCTATACACCCATTAATGGCAACCCACTCCAGTATTCTTGGCTAGAGAATCCCGTGGACAGAGAAGCCTGGTGGGCTGCTGTCCATGGAGTCACACAGAGTCGAACACAACTGAAGCAACTTAGCATGCATGCATGCATTGGAGAAGGAAATGGCAACCCACTCCAGTGTTCTTGCCTGGAGAATCCCAGGGACAGGGGAACCCAGTGGGCTGCCGTCTATGGGGTCGCACATAGTCGGAAATGACTGAAGTGACATAGCAGTGCAGCATACACCCATTATTTTGGCTAAAAATAAAAAGACAACTATGTCAAGTGTTGTTAATGATACAGAATAATTGTCAGATTTATAATCTTGATCTAATGTTGATCTTATTGGAGGAGAGACAGCCCCACGCAGTGACTTGGCCCGAGGGTCAGTTTCTGCCTCTGAAGGGATCACAGGACAGGTGAGGCCCTATCATGAGTATTTCAAGAGCCCTGTTTGCTCCTGGTGTGTCCAGCACCAAGACCAAGGCTTCCAGACCCTCATGAGACACTCCTCCATATGGAACAGAGAAGCTGTCATAGGGGATCTCAACAAAGGCAGAGATTTACTATCTGAAGAAATCCTTGACACAAGAAGAAGACTTGGCCACATATTTCAGTGTTCTGATAGATGCTTTAAATATATATATATAACCAAAAATAGTTAAAGAAGAAATAGAAAAGCTAAATAAGTATCTAATCATTAAAGTAATTTGACAATTAGAAATATAAATTTATAGAGAATTCCTAATAGATGGGAAGTTTTTAACCTGCAAGTGTGCCCCAATACATAATTAAAAATTGAATGCATAGTAGGATATATAGTAATCATAATATATATATAGTAATCATAGTAATATATGTAGTAATAATATATAGTAATCAAGAAAATATTAGAAATTAAGTTTATATAGGGGGTTTCTACAAATAAATAAGAAAATCACTCAAAATGAAAGGAGAAAATAAAGATAATTTACGTAAGGCAATTTAAAGAAAAGGAAATAGACATGAATATATAAAACATCAACTTATGCAGTAATCAGAGGAAATTAAATTAAAGCAAATTACTATCTCATTTCTGTCAGATAACCAGAAATGTGAAAGTCTGATAACATTAAGTTTTGATCCAAATACAGGGAGAGGAAGACTATTAAACTTCTCAAGATGGAGAAAAGCAACCACATAGAGAACATTTATTTAACAACTTCAGAGAAAAATTGCCTGAACTATTTAACAAAGAAGAAAACATATATATTTAAAAGTCAAGCAATTCCATTTCCTGTTATCTACATTCAAGTAATTCCAACATTTGAACAAGGAGACATTTACAAGGATAGTCACACCAACCCTGTAAGCAGAAGTATAACCATTCAAGCGCAGAATGAACAAATAATGAATTACATATGAAGTCAAAATACAATGAACTATATTGAAAGCATAGAAACAGTTCCCTATATTCTTTTCTTAGATAAATCTTACAAAAATGAAATGCTGAATATAAAAAGCATCAGAATGATATATGCTGTGTGACACTACTTATGAGAACTTTCAGAATATAATCATGATATAAAATATTGTTTTGTGATATATAGCTATAACAGTAAAATTGAAAAGATATACATGGAATCTTCCTAATAGTAGTTATTATTTTAAAAATAGGAAAAATACCAGGAGCTCCTCTATAGTTTTGTCTGTAATGTTTGGAGAGAGCTATAGAAAATATAGCAAAATTAAATATCTGTTTACCATCATTGACAGGGGAAAATGTGTCTGCACATAATTTTGTGTACTGTTCCATGTAAGAATTATTTACTTTTATTTTTAAAAATTTTTAAAAATTGGATGGTAGCAACCATAGCTTTTACTAGTTCAATCAATTCATAGAAGGAATAAGATAATTCCTATTACCTATAACTTTGATAGATGTACTTTTAATAGGCCATAAAATGCCAGGGAAAAAATTGTTAATTTGTTTAAGCTCTAGAAATTATTTATCTGAAAATAAACAGCACAGAGACACCCTGCCACAGTTAAAATACACACTTTTTGAGTACACAAAAAGAGAAAGTGAGAAGAAAATCAGATCATCTGGCTTAACAGTGGGAGACATACCCCTAAGATGTTAGTCTATGTTGTAACTAATACACAAATTCAGCAAAGTTGCGGGATACAAAATTAATCTACATTCCAATAATGGACTATCTGGAAGAGATATTAAGAAAACAATTCTTCTTCCATCGCATCAGAAAGAAAATACCTAAGAATAACTTTAAGCAAAGAAGTATAGACTTGTATATTGAAATCTGTAAGACATTGATTATAGAAATTGAAGACAAAAATTAATAGGAAGATATTTTGTTCTTCCAGACTGAAAAAATTCAATTGTTAAAATATCTATACAACCCAAAGCAATCTACATATTCAATGAAACCTCTATCAAAATTCAATGACATATTTCATGGAGACAGAATAAACAAACCCTAAGATTTTTATGAGAGAGAATAGACCACCAATAGCCAAAGCAAATTAGAGAAAGATCAAAACTGAAGGCATCACATAACCTTATTTCAAACTACATTGCAAAACTATAGTAATGAAAACAGTGTGTGTGTGTTTTGGCATTGAACAAAGACACATAGATCAATGGAGCAGAATAGGTAGCCCAGAAAAAACCCTTGTATACATGGTCAATTCACAGCAAAGAAGCCAAGAATATACATTCAAGAAAGGAACATTTCTTCAATAAATGATATTATGAGAAATGGAAAGCTACATGCAAAAGAATGAAACTGGACTCATCAAAATGGATTATAGAATTGAATATAAGAACCACAGCAATAAAGCTTAGAAGAAACATAGGGGGTGAGTTCCTTGACATCAGTATTGGCCACAGTTTTGTTTTTGTTTTTGTTTTTTGTATTTGACACTAAAATCAAGGACAACAGGAGCGAAAAAAAAGCAAAAAACAAGTGTGACTACATCAAACTAATAAGTTTATGTCCAGCAAAAGAGGCCATCCACAAAACAAAAAGGCAACCTACAAAATGAGAGCAAATATTGCCCAAACATATATCTGATAAGGAGCTAATACCCAAAATATATAAATATCTTGTATAATCATTAGAACAAAAGTCTGTTTTAAAAATAGGCTGATGATCTGAATAAACATTTTCCCAAAGAAGGACATACTAATGACCAAAAGGTAAACCAGAAGATGCTCAACATCACTAATCATCAGGGAAATGAAAATCAAAACCAAAAAGAGCTATCACTTTACATCTGCCAGAATGACTACTATCAAAAAGACAGGGAATAAAAAATTTTGACAAGAATGTAGAAGAAAGGGAACCCTGCCCACTGTTGTTGGAAATATAAATTGGTGCAGCCTCTATGGCAAACAGTATGGAGGTTCCTCAAAAAATTAAAACTACCTCTACTATGATATTCAGTATTTCCACTTCTGAGTATTCATCTGAAGAAAATGAAGTCACTATCTCAAAAAGATATCTGTACCCCACGTTTATTGCAGTTCATCTACAACAGCTGAGACATGGAAACAACCCAAGTGTCCTTTGACAGATGAATGGATAAAGAAAACATGGTAAAAAAATTTTTTTTCATAGATTTACAACAGCATGAATGAATCTTGAGGGCACAATGCTAACTGAAATAAATCAGGCAGACAAAATCAAAAAATGTATGAAATCATTTATATGTGGAATCTAAGACACAGATGCAAGAACACACATACATACACAGAGACGTATAGACACACAGACACACACACACACCCAGACCTCATAGATACAGAGAATAGATTGGGGGTGTAGGGTGTGGAATAGGTGACTATGTTCAAAAGACAGAACCATCCAGTTATAAGAGAAATAAGTCCTGGGGATGCAATGTACAGCATGATAACTATAAAAAAATTTAATGATGTCAGTGTGTAAACCCTCTTGGCTCTCAAAGATTTTTTTTTAATTAAAAAAAAATTGGCTGCTCTGGGTCTTTGCTGCTGTTCACGGGCTTTCTCTAGTTGCACTAAGCAGGGGCTACTCTTGGTTGCAGGGCACAGGCTCACTGTCATGCCTTCTCTCGTTGTGAAGCACAGGCTCTAGGAGCACAGGCTCAGTAGTTGCAGCTTGCAGGCTCTAGGGCACGCAGGCTTCAGTAGTTGTGGCACACAGGCTCAGAAGTTGCAGCTCTTGGGCTCTAGAGCAAAAATGCCATAGATGTGGTGCCTGGGCTCAGTTGCTCCAGGGCATGTGGAACATTCCCAGACCAGGGATTGAACCCATGTCCCCTGCATTGGCAGGTGACCTCCCATCCACTGTACCACCAGGGAAATCCTCTCAATGTTTGTTTTACTTTTTTTTTTCTAGTAGTTTGAACAGTTGAATAACAAGTTTGGAATAGGATGTATAGCTACTGGACTGGAGTATCTTTCATTGGACTGAAATATACAAAACTCAAAATAGGATGCAGTACCCAGATTGGGATGCAAGGTGAGCTTCAGAAGACAGTCACCAGAGATGTAAGAGGGAGGACTAGGGAAGATCTGGGAACCTCAGTAGTAATTCTGTGCCCTCATATGTGAGTTTGGGGATTCCTATGAAGGAACCAGGGAGAATCCAAGGACAATCTATTATAAAATAACTCAGTTAGGTCTTCCCTGGTGGCTCAGTAAAGAATCTGCCTGCCAAAGCAGGAGACATTGTTTCAATCCCTGATACAGGAAGATCCCACGCGTCATGCAGCAGCTAATCCTGTGCACCACGACTATTGAGTCTGTGCTCTAGAGCCCGTGCTCCACAGTCAGAGAAGCCACCGCAATGAGAAGTGCAACGACAGAGTGACCCCCTCTCTCTGCAGCTAGAGAAGAGCCCATGTAGCAACGAACACCCAAAACACTCTAAATTAATAAATAAAGAAAATTATAAAAAGAATAAGTTATTCTTATTGGGGTTTCTTTATGAGGTGTTGAAACAAAAATAAAATGTTTGAAATTTGATTAATTTGATGTAAATGACTTCATTAGATGAAATTTCAGAATAAAATGAAGTAGAATTTTCATTCCTTCAATGTTAAGAAAGGGAAATATTTTTATTTTAGGAAACATATATATTGTTAATAGCTTTTAATATTTTTACTGATTAAGCAACATTTTAGGAGAAGTTTTGTCCTCATGACAGCTACAATGAGAATTATAAGATTGTACTAAAGAGTATAACTGCATTCATGACAGCAACATGGTCAAATATTTGAATTTAGAAGACCCATTGGTTCTTGCTTCCTAAACCTTTAATAAGCTAATCACAGAGTTATATCACAAATGAATATGATTTCACAGCCATTACCATTTGGTATTCCAATACACAACTGGAGAGATTACAGAAGTCAGAAGCTTATTCTGTGTTTATTTGTCTGTGTGATATTTGCTATTCTGAAGTTATCCGCTAAAGTTACGAGTTCACATGATTTGGTGGGTAAGTGGGAAGAAAAGGGAGCTCACGGCTTCTTGTTGGTCTGTTTTAGGGAAACTAGGAAGCAGTTAGTATAATTCATCTTAGAATCAAAATCAGAAAGGCAAGAGAACAATCAGACCATGAATGAATATTTGCAATCCCAGCATGATTCATAATGAATTTGTTTCAGATAACATCCAAGATTTTAGAAGAGATTAATTTACTACTAAATTTGGAAGTTTTAAGTAAAAAATCTCTTTCAATTTCGTCCTGCAATATTAAACTCTGGCTTGTCCTTTACCGGGATTATTATTTATTAGTAAATCACAAGGAAAAGTAGAACAATGTTTAGGACAGTCTAAATCTTCCAACCTGAGTATCATAGCACGTTCAGACTTGATCCAGCCAGAAGCTACATTTTCCAGAATCTGATTCTATAATGCAACTGAGGGAACATGCACCTTTACTGTCAAGAACTCAGAGCAAGGCCACATCAACAAAGGGGGAAAACTGCCTTCATGCTGCTTCCCGCGCTGTTGTGGGCATTTGTGGTGTCCTCTACTTAGTTATAAATGATTGGAAACCAGGACATCTGCTGCCTACCAGCACCCAGAGGTGAAATGGAACAGAAAAGTAGATGTCTCAACTAAATATAAACTCTCCTCCCTGCATCACTCACTATTGTGTTATTTCAACTTTAAAATCTAAGAACCGGCATTGTTTTAGGCCTTTCTGTACTTTCTTGTCTACTTGTCTATTTGCCTTTGATTCTTTTATGTTAATTCATCTATTAAAACAATGAAATCAAATGGAAGATTGACAGTGACATTCTATATGATCATGTACAGTATACAAAACTTCAGTCACCAAATAGCGTGGTGTTAACATTTACTAAGTGTTTACAGATACCATATTTTGTAGGAGCGCACTGTAGCAGCATCACAGAAAAATTCAGCATGCTTAACTTGACTTTACAGAGAAAAATAACAAACCACTAAGAGGAGAGACTGAACATTTTGGGGTAAAAAATATGACATGAGGACAATTTAAGGACACCTGATCTAATAAATACAATTCTACTTGTAAAGGCAGCAGGATTGAATATACTGATTCTCTTCAAAGTCTATTAAGTAAAACTCAATGTCAGATTACAAAGATTAATATTTTTTCCTGTTAACCATTTCATAAAACACACACACAACTGAATAGATTCTGAAAGTCAGGAGTGATTTTTTATCATTTGATATTGAAGTAAGTAACTTTATTTATTGGAAAATATAAACAAAGACCTAGAACCAAGTGAGAAAAGAAAAAGATACATTAATTATTTTGGAAAAGACTGCCTTTTGTCAAGAAAGCTAAAGGGCTTCCCAGGTTGAGCTAGTGTTAAAGAACCCATCTACCAATGCAGGAGATGTAAAAGACGAGGGTTTGATCCCTGGGTTGGGAACCCACTCCAGTGTTCTTGCCTGCAGAATCCCCATGGACAGAGGAGCCTGGCAGGTTACAGTCCACGGGGTCGGACAGAGCAACTAATGGCTGAAGCAGCAGGACAGCACACACGTGAGAAAGCTAAAGATCTGTGGGTTTGTTTTATTGTGTGTTTTTTTTTTAAAGAGTCATTAAATTCTGGATAAAGAAATGTAAGCATCAGCTAAATGAATGACCAGAATAACCAGTAAGTAGATTACAGGAAGGATTCGTAGTGTATACTACTATGTTTTGAATGGGCTGGCAAAATTATTATCAATGTGTGTCAACTTACTGAGCCTTCTGTTTCTCTCAGCTCAAACCCTTAACATGTGTGTGTATTAGTTGCCCAGTCGTGTCCAACTCTTTGGACCCCATAGGCTGTAGCCGCCAGACTCCTCTATCCATGGAATTCTCCAAGCAAGAACAATGGAGTGGGTTGCCATTCCCTTCTCCAGGGGATCTTCTTAACTCAGGGATCAAACCAGGGTCTCTTGAACTGCAGGCGTATTCTTTATCATCTGTGCCATCAGGGAAACTCTCAAACAGATAATACTAACTGCTTTTTCCATGACCCTTTCAGGATCTACCTAACGTAATAATCAGGGAAAGAAAATTAAACATCTGTGAGCCAAAAGTTTTTCCCATCTGTGAAAAAGACCATGTGATCTATGAACATGACAACCGCCACTTCCTGTCTGAGGAGTCACACATAGTCACACAGGTACTATGTAAATGTGCCGCCAGGCACACAGAGACACTGAACTCTCAGCTTGAGGCAGGACTGAGCACATCTGTGCAGGGGAATCCACGCCTCATGCAGCTCTCCAGCCTGCTCTGGGTGTTCCTGGCCTTCACCTTCTCTGGTAGGGATGCTTCCAAGCATGGGTGTGAGTGTTCAGAGTGAAAGGACTGCACACAGGCACGTGATGCTTCACAGGGACTTGGGGTGGAAAGGAGGACTGGAGAAAAGGAAGCATTTTATAATTTCAATTTGATTTGCCTCTGGGTCCTAAATTAGCCTAAATCCCACACTATTTTATTTACTACTTTATCTCTGTTTTCTGATTTTGTCCCCATAGGATCCAGTGTGGCCCAGAAAGTAACTCAAGTCCAGACAGCCATAACCAGTCAAGTGGGGCAGACAGTCACCCTGAATTGTCGATATGAAGTAAGTTGGACCATGGACTACTACTACATTTTTTGGTATAAACAGCTTCCCAGTGGAGAGATGGCTTTCCTTATTCATCAGTATTCAGCACACCTGAATGCAAGGAATGGCCGCTACTCTGTAAACTTCCAGAAAGCAGATAAATCCATCAGCCTCATCATTTCAGCCTTACAGCTCGAAGACTCTGCAAAGTACTTCTGTGCTCTCCGGGAGCTCACAGTGCTTGAAGTAATGGGAAAAGCTGAACAAAAACCCCAGAGCTTAATAAGAGAGAGCACACTGCTTCAGGACCTCAGTTGAAGTGCACACCTGCACATCCCAGAAGAGAAATGGTAGTCCTGTGGTTGCTCCATCTGTGGTCTGGATCAGAAGACCAATTCTAAATAAAAGCTCCTTCTAGGTGGATCACCAGGCTACAGCTGGAACCAGGTGGGCCTGCCCCGCAGGAACTGGAGCCTGAAGAAGACAGGGAATCACTGTGGTTTCTCCCTCCCTTTAGTCCCCCAATTTCCCACCACTGCTTTGTGTCCCCCATTTGAGCAGGAGGCCAGTAGACGCTGGAACTGTGAAAGCACATCTTATCTCCTGCAACTCCTTTCTGGTGGATCCACTTCACAGCTCTTGCCTCCCCTTTCACTCAGAGTTTCCTCTGACTGCCCAGGTCGATACAGGCTTTCAGCTCTTGCTAGTATCTTGATGCTTCCCATCTCTTCTTTGTTTTCCCTAACCCTGCCTTCAAATCTATAAATATTCCCTTCATTAAACTTTGTAGTTAAATCTTCAAGTAAATCAAAGATCTTTCTAGGTTATTTGGAAGTAGGTGTCCACAGTAATTTTCTACTAATACATTCTTCTCTTGAGCTTTTGACTTTAAATCAATCATACAGAACTTGTGTAAACTTGTCTAAGGCTATAAACTTGCTCCATAATAATTTAAAATGACTGCTTCACTAAAATACACTCACATCACAAACCTGGGTATAGTTATCTGGAATCGTTATGAAAATCATTTCTTAGTCCTTTCTTCTTAGACTTTGTGTCACTTAAGGTATAATCAGGGAAGCAGACCATCAGCGATGTCAAATAAGAGATTAGTTATATATAAAGATTAGAACTCAGGCAGTTTGCTAGAGTTGATGGAGTAGTCTGTACAAGCAGAAAAGATATAAGCACCCTAATGTTCATTGCAGCACTAATTACAGTAGCATGGACATGGAAGTAACCTAAATGTCCAATGATGGAATAATAGATAAAAAAGATACAGCATATATATACAATTGAATATTATTCAGCCATGAGAAAGAACAAAACAGTGCCATTTGCAGTGGCCTGGATGGACCTAAAGGTTGTCATACTGAGTGAAGTAGGTCAGACAGAGAAAGACAAATGTCCTGTGATATCTCTTTTATCAGATGGAATTTTAAAAAGTGGTATTTACAAATGAAGGTGTTTACAAAACAAAAATAGAATCCAGGATGTAGAAAACTAATTATGGTTACCAAAGGGGGAAAGGGATATGACTGGGATTCATATATACACACTACTATATATAAAATAGATAACTAATGAGAACCTTCTGTATAACACAGGAAACTCTACTCAATATTCTATGATGACCTATATAGAGCACAATCTGAAAAAGAGAGGATATATGTATACATATAACTGACTTGCTGTACAACAGAAACTAACATTGTAAAGCAACTATACTCCAATAAAAATTAATTTAAAAAGTAGAGATAATAAATCTACTGGAAAAAATAAGAGCTATCAGAAGCTTGAAAAAACAGTGATACCTGACTTCTCATCCAGACCAACAGAAGTTACCAAGGGAAAGCATTTTTAAAGTGTTTAAGAAAATAAACAAATGAAACTTTCAAGCTAACTTCTTATGAAAATGAAGATATATATTAAAATGCCTGTGTTGAATATCAATGCTAAGAGGGTGGAAAGTCAATGTGCAGACTTTTAAACTGTATTTGCAATGCATATTTCTGAAAAAGACTCAAATGAAAAATATATATAAAGCAGATACAAATTGGTAAAGAAAACAGTTAAGAAGAATGGTACAATCTTGGAGATCCAATTTAGAAATTTGATATTTAATACCCAATAAATTGGAGAAGGAAATGGCAACCCACTCCAGTATTCTTGTCTAGAAAATTCCACGGATGGAGGAGTCTGGTGGGCTACAGTCCATGGGGTCGCAAAGAGTCGGACACGACTGAGCGACTTCACTTTCTTTTCACTTTCAGTTTCACCTAATAAATATACCAAAAATAATATTATTATTCATCAGGTAAATGAAAATAAAGCTTCCTCTGAATGCTCCATCTGTGTCCTTTCAGCACCCTGAATGTACTAATATAGCTAGGAGAATATGACCCAAGAGGACAGGGAAAAATAATGACTGTCTCAAAGAAAATAAGTGATTAAATAAATTTCCTATAGTTTCCCTCATTGAACCAATGTGGAGAAAAAAAAAGTAGTAACAAGTCACAGATTCTGGATATTGAAGAAAAGACGGGTTTCACTAGAAAAAAAGAAAGATGGTGTTTTTTTAGCTTATTCTATGTCAGGCACTGTGGTATGCATTTCAGATTCATCATCTAATTTAAATATCAAAACCCTATGAGCTAGGTTTTAAAAACCCTATGAGCTAGGTTTTAAAAACCCTATGAGCTAGGTTTTATTGTTTCTTCTTTTTTTTTAATCTTTGGGAAATGAACCATAACTTTCCTAACTGTGAAATGCTTCTCTACCTTTTTTTTATCAGCCAGAGTGTAGCACTTTAGGGGGCTCCTAAGGAGCAAGGTCTGGACTTTGGAGAAGCACTTGGACTCAAAATAGGGTGGACAGCTGAGTGATGGTGACATTGCTGGTTTAAACTGGAACCTAAAGTGAACTAGAAGATGCCAAACCTAGACACAAAGTCCCAGGATGAGTAGATGAGGAAATCATCCACTAATCAGTTAACAGTGCTGAATGCTTTAGCAAGTTTTTTATTTAATAGTATGCTGGGGAAATTGAGGGCTACGATGGGGTATTATTCTTTAAACACTCCTGTGAGGCTATCTTCCCAAACATCTACATGGTGTTATCTCTGAAGTTCCTTTACATCTTTACTCGTCTTTACTTGGTGAATTCTTTATTTAAATCTTTCCATTTTCCTTCCTTGAGAACCAGACTCCAGCGCACTGCATGTAGCAGGAGTAAACGCCGAAGCACTGCCACCTGCTGTCCTACTCGAATATTCTGTGAGACTTACACGGGCTTCCTTCCTGCCCTCTGTGCTGAGTCTCTTCAGTCGTGTCCGACTCTGCGACCCCATGGACTGTAGCCCACCAGGTTCCTCTGTACGTGGGATTCTCCAGGCAAGAATACTAGAGTGGGGTTGCCATGCCCTCCCCCAGGCGATCTTCCTGACCCAGGGATCAAACCCATACCTCTTATATCTCCTACACTGACACTCCTACACTCCTTTACCACTAGCGCCACCTGGGAAGCACTCAATTGTGAGGAAGTCTAGTCAAGGTAGGGCCTGTGGTTGCTGAACCAGTCAGTAAACTCAATGCAGACATCTGGAGACAGAGAATTCAGGAGAACTGGCCTTTTGTTTTGTTTTGTTTTTTTCCTCTCCCTCTCTTTTGCCTNGCCTTCTTTATGTTTTGTTTTGTTTTTTTTTTTCTTCTCCCTCTCTTTTGCCTGCCAGATATAAAAGGGATTGACTTCAAACATAGAATGCATAGGATGATTCTGGCTGGAGAGTAAGAGGCTACCTTGGAAAGAAACCTCTAAATTACTTCACAATGTGAGAGTTTCTTCCCTGATAAGTGAAATTGTGCTTACTGTTATGTCCTTTTTTGTAGTATAGAAATAGCCTGAGAAGTGGGAGCAAGAGTCAGTGATGGGAAAAATAAACTATCATGGCAAATATTGCTTGGTTATACTCATTACATATTATAATATTCCACCCATTCTCTCAATATAACACCTTATGAACTGATTTCCCATTGACAGTGAGACACATGATAGACCATGGATACTTAGGATAATACATGTAATATGCTATGTAAACTAATAAAATACACCTGAGAAAAATATTGAGATTTATCTTGTGGGTAGATTCCTCTCCAATTTCAAATTCTGTCTCCCAATCCCCTGCCCCAAGAATTTGTTCATTGCCTGCAGCTGATTGAGTGTTTATGACAGGATTTCTGCGTCTCTTCTCTTGGGCAGGAAAGATAGAGGTTAGTCATTGAGATGGCTTCCAATTCTGTTCCACTTTCCAGAACACAATTTAAATTTGAGTATGTAGAAGGCACTGCTGTCTAGTTTTAGCACCTACTCTGTTTCCTTTGTTTATTTCAGTTGTTCACTGGAAAGAAGTTTTTGTAGTCAATTTATACTATCGATTTCCCAGAAGTAGATTTAGATTCTGAACAATCTTAATTAGTGCTATCTTGCACTATTAAACTTTCCCTGATTAGGTTTTATTTTTCCGACAATATTTTGAGCTTACAGAGAACAGAGAATATTGCCTTTATAACTTTTGGAGCTTAGAAATCATGGGCACAAATTGTTTAAACTAATGTGTGCATGTTCAGTGAAACTAACCTGATTAATGAGCTGTGACACAGGCAAAATAGAACATAAATCTTATTTACTTTAACCAACTCTATTGAGGTATAACTGATATTCCATAAAATGCATCCATATTGCATCTACAGTTCAATAATTTTTGGTAAATTAGCTTAGTTATAAAATTAGTTCCATGATCATAATCATTACCATGGCCCTTCCATGCGCTCTCTTTTAGTGGTCTCTCAGGGAAGCGGTTCATCTCACCTGATGCCTCACAAAAGCATAAGCTGAGAAAGCGTCTTCATGTTTAGTCTCACTACTGCCACAATATGAAATTTGATGCGTCTGTTTATTACAGTGAGTTACCAAGCCAGCACAGATCCAGTGTGCACGGAGTCTACACAAGGGCATGGATATCAGGAAGCAGGGATCATTGGAGGCATTTCAGTCTCAAATTTGTGATAATTTATTATGATAGAAGGAGGATTCTAGCACAGTTCCTAAAAGTAACATTTCTAAATAGCTATAGCCAATCCTTGATTGTTTACATTCATGGGAGAATGCATTTAAATTGGTCTTTGGCCTATGTTGAGTTCAAACTCTCAAGCATGAAAATACACACATTTATTTATCACTCAACAATTGTTTGAATCCCTGGTATGTGGTAAAGTAACATGGTGAGACAGCCATAAGTTTTAAACTGGATAATTTACAGCCAGAGTATTCTATATGACAGCAGAAAAAAATATACATTTTATCTTCCATTTTAACATCATAGGTTGTCTAACAATAAATTATGGGCCTTTCCCACATTTATTAAAATGACCTAATATATTCCATCAGTACATACAGAAAAACACACTACATGATTCTGATAAAATTGGAAATGGCAAATGAAACATTTTATTTCATTCTGATGCCCTGGTTTTTAAAGAATCACAGAATCCATTCCTGAAGGGCAAAATATGCCTCCCCAAACACTATCATGTGGCTCAGCTGGTAAAGAATCCACCTGCAATGTGGGAGATCTATGTTTGATCCCTGAGTTGGGAAGATCCCCTGCAGAAGGGAAAGGCTACCCACTCCAGTATTCTGGCCTGGAGAATTCCATGGACTGATATATGAGAGCAGGGAAAAAGATACAGTTTATCTTCCATTTTGACATCATAAGTTGTCTAACAATAAATTATGGGTCTTCTCCACATTTATTAAAATGACCTAATATATTCCATCAGTACATACAGAAAAACACACTACATGATTCTGATAAAATTGGAAATGACAAATGAAACATTTTATTTCATTCTGATGCTCTGGTTTTTAAAGAATCACAGAATCCATTCCTGAAGGGCAAAATATACCTCCCCAAACACTATCATGTGGCTCAACTGGTAAAGAATCCACCTGCACTGTGGGAGACCTGTGTTTGATCCCTGGGTTGGGAAGATCCCCTGCAGAAGTGAAAGGCTACCCACTCCAGTATTCTGGTCTGGAGAATTCCGTCGACTGTATAGTCCATTGGGTCGCAAACAGTCAGACATGACTGGGCGATTTTCACTTTCATTTCCACTTTTTAAACACTATCAGCATGAGTAAATTCTTTCCAAGCCTTGACAAACATTTACCACAGGAGTTAGAAAAAATATTGAAAAAGAATAGATACATGTATATGTACAACTGAATCACTTATGCTGTAAACCTGAAACTAACCCAACATTGTTAATCAACTATACTCTAAGATAAAATAAATGTTTAAAATATATCTGCAATAATAACAGAAAACTTTGTAAGAAATTGGAGAAGGAAATGGCAACCCACTTCATTGTTCTTGCCTGGAGATTCCCAGGGACGGCGGAGCCTGGTGGGCTGCCGCCTATGGGGTCACATAGAGTCGGACACGACTGAAGTGACTTAGCCACTGCAGCAGCAGTGATAAAATCAGCAATATTTGATCCAACCACATGGGGGCAGCATCTATAAATCCTCCCCTCTTGAAAATAACCTGAGTAAAACAGTGGTAAGCCTGACTGGCTGCCTCAAACTGCGGTCACTCTTTTCACCTTTCTTTGCAAAGAGCAATGCAGACCATGTTTCTGTGGGTCTGGAAGAAGCTTCTACAAGGAAAACCCTGTAGGAGCAGATAGATTCAACAACTCTTCCAGATGAGGAAGAAGAGGGAGATGCTATTCACAGCACCAGTGTTAAACTTATGGATGCAAATACCACGTGAGTTTGGGATTTCCCTGATTGCTCCCAGAAAATTTAGCACAGCAGAATCTTATCTGCAGACAACTGGAGGAGTGGGATTTTCTGCTTGAGAGCAAAGTTGTGAAAAAACACAAAAATTATAAAGTAGGAAGATAGAGGGAGTTGAGGAGGGAGACTTGAAACAAAGGTGAAAAATACACAAGAATGAGAGAGACCAGGGTAGTTGACGAATTAGACATCTAACCAAATTTTCTCTGATGCTTCCTTCTGTTTTTCTGAACAGAAATGAATGGACAACAGATAAAGCATTTTCCTGAATTCTTGCTTCTACAAGAAGGAGAGAACTTCACTACATACTGCAATTTCTCGAGCAACTTTTACAACTTACAGTGGTATAAGCAGAGGCCTGGGGGCAGTCCTGTCCTCTTGATGATATTAGCTAAGGGTGGAGAAGTAAAGACGCAGCAGAGACTGACAGTTCGGTTTGGAGAGTCCAGACAGCACAGCTCCCTGCACCTCACGGCCGCCCAGCCCTCAGATGTAGGAACCTACTTCTGTGCCCAGAAACAGTGCTCTGGAAGCACCTGCTTCAGAACTTTTGTGCTGAAAACTATAAAGCACTGATAAAAGAAATCAAAGAAGACAGATGATGAGATCCCCTCTATTTGCAAATTATAAGTTTCCAAAAAGGGCAGGTGTCAGTTCTCTCAAATTGATGTACACACTTTACATAGTGCTGTTAAAAAACAAACAACCCAATCAAAAAGTGGGGGAAAAACCTAAACAGACATTTCTCCAAAGTAGACATACAGATGGCTAACAAGCACATGAAAAGATGCTCGCCATTGCTCATTATTAGAGAAATGCAAATCAAAACTACAATGAGATATCACCTCACACCAGTCAGAATGGCCATCAACAAAAAGTCTACAAACAATAAATGCTGGAGAGGGTGTGGAGAAAAGGGAATGCTCTTGCACTGTTGGTGGGAATATAAACTGATACAGCCACTATGGAAGACAGTATGGAGGTTCCTTAAAAAACTAGAAATAAAACCACCTTATGACCCAGAAATCCCACTCCTAGGCATGTACCCTGAGGAAACCAAAATTGAGAAAGACATATGTATCCCATTGTTCATTGCAGCACTATTTATAATAGCTATAACATGGGAACAACCTAGATGTCCATTGACAGATGAATGGATAAAGAAATTGTGGTACATGTACACAATGGAATAGTACTCAGCCATAAAGTGGAATACATTCTAATGAGGTGGGTGAACCTAGAACCTGATACAGAGTGAAGTAAGTCAGAAAGAGAAAGATAAATATCATATTCTAACACCTGTATACAGAATCTAGAAAAATCATAATGAAGAATTTATTTACAGGGCAGCAGTAGAGAAGCATAGAGAATAGACTTATGAATGTGGGGAGAGGGGAGGAGAGGGTGGGATGTATGGAAAGAGTAACATGTAAACTTACATTACCATATGCAAAATAGNATTTACAGGGCAGCAGTAGAGAAGCATAGAGAATAGACTTATGAATGTGGGGAGAGGGGAGGAGAGGGTGGGATGTATGGAAAGAGTAACATGTAAACTTACATTACCATATGCAAAATAGATAACCAATGGGAATTTGCTATATGGCTCAGGAAACTCAAACAGGGGTTCTGCGTCAACTTAGAGGGGTGAGATGAGGAGGGAGACGGGAGGGAGGTTCAGAAGGGAGGGGGATATGTATATATATATACCTATGCTGATTCATGTTGAGATTTGACAGAAAACAACGAAGTTCTGTAAAGCAATTATTGTTCAATTTAAAAATAAATAAATGTTTTAAAAATCCATGCAGGATTTTTTTTATAAATACAGGCAAGATTATTTTAAAATTTGTATGAAAAGACAGCAATACTGGAAAAGCTAAAGTAACCCTTTAAAAAAGAAGGAAATAGAAGCCATCAGTCTACCTGATTTCAAGCTATAGCTGCAGTAATCAAGATTGCACATAATTAAAAAAAAAAGATTGCACATAATTTGATTGTGATTCTGTTGAATTTATAGTTTCATTGGATGAAACTGATTATCTTAAGAAATGGAGTCTTCTAATTCATATGATGTCCTGTTTATTTATGTAGGTCCCATTTAATTTCTTTGATTAATGTTATTATTTTTATTCTAGATGACTTGCATATTTTATATTAAATTATTTCAAATTGATAAGTGGTGTTTTAATTTAATTTTCCAGAGATTTTTGACTGAAAGGGCTTCCTAGTTGGTGCTAGTTGCAAAGAATCTACCTGCTAGTGCAGGAGGCACGAGATGTCGGTTCCATCCCTGGGTCAGGAAGATCCCTAGAGTAAGAAATGGCAACCCACTCCAGTATTGTTTCCTGGAAAATTCCACAGACAAAGGAGACTGATGGGCTAGAGTCCATGGGGTTGCAAAGAGGTGGACACAAGTGAGCACACACACTGAAATCTAGAAATAAAATCGATTTTTGTGTTTAGTGACTTTGTAGTTTGTTTATAAATTCCTTTTTATATTCTACCTACACAGATGTGTCACCTATGAATAAAAATGGCCTATTTCTCCCTTTTCAAACTTAATACATCTTATTTCCTTTTCATAACTTGATACCAGAACCTCCAGTATGACGGTAAACAGAAGTAATGATAGTGAATCCATCTTATTTATTACCTTGCTGCTGCTACTGCTAAGTCACTTCAGTCGTGTCCGACCCTGTGCGATCCCATAGACGACAGCCCACCAGGCTCCCCCATCCCTGGGATTCTCAAGGCAAGAACACTGGAGTGGGTTGCCATTTCATTCTCCAATGTGTGAAAATGAAAAGTGAAAGTGAAGTTGCTCAGTCATGTACGACCCGTAGTGACCCCATGGACTGCAGCCTACCAGGCTCCTCCGTCCATGGGATTTTCCAGGCAAGAGTACTGGAGTGGGGTGCCATTGCCTTCTCCGTATTTATTACCTTAGACAGAACAATATTGAATTTGGATATTTTCATTGGTACCCTTTATCAGATCCAGGATTTCTCTTCTATTTCTGGATTATTGAGGGTACTCATCATGCAAGTGTTGGCTTTTTATCAAATCCTCTAGTTTTTATGAAAGTAAGTTAAGAACATTATTTTCATTTTCATTAAGCAGAGGAAGATAACCTTAATCCATAAGGGCCAGAGATAATAGGATCTTTTAAATTCAAGACTCCGAAAAGAGCCAATACATATTTTAAGATTTTTCAGCACCAAATAGAGTGATTTTTGGTTTCCAATATAATTTAAAATGCTACTTTGTAATGGCCTCTACTGTCTTCTAAAAAATAAAGACAAACAAAAAAGTTGTTATTGCTTTTCTTCTGCCTTTGCTAATGTAATAAAACAACCTATTTCAGTTGTTATTTGTCCTTATATTTTCAGTACTGGTGCTTGCAGCTTATCTGTGTGTGTGTGTGTGTGTGTGTGTGTGAGAGAGAGAGAGAGAGAGAGAGGGATTTGCCACAAAACAAGCAGGCTCTCAATGAATACTCAATGAGCATGATTACTATGACATTTACTCCCATATCTTCAGAGTCTGATTTCTCCCATCCTAAGCCTGGGATATTTGTTGCCTATTGCTGAATTTTGTCCACAAGTATAACTGTGGATTTATTTTGTTGGAGTCTTTTGTTTAACATGTTTTCCATATAATTGAACAATTGCATTTAGAAAAATTTAAAGAGTTCCTCAACATAACTTCTACCACCAAATTCATGAATGATAACTCATCCATTAATAAAGGATACAGGCAATTTGAGTGCCTCGTCTGGACCAACTTCTCTTTTATTTATTTTTTCATTTATTTTTATTAGTTGGAGGCTAATTACTTTACAATATTATAGTGGTCTTTGCCATACATTGACATGAATCAGCCATGGATTTACATGTGTTCCCCATCCTGATCCCCACTCCTGCCTCACTCTCCATCCCATCCCTCTGGGTCTTCCCAGTGTACCAGCCCTGAACACTTGTCTCATGCATCCAACCTGGGCTGGTGATCTGTTTCACCCTTGATAATATACATGTTTCAATGCTGTTCTCTCTGAAGCAACT